TGTTGGGACAAGAATTATATCAAGTGTTTAATTGTCTTTGCATAATTAATAAATATGTTGAGTTGGGTGGATAGCATCATACGGTTAAGTGAAGTCCTAGGATATGAGATAATCTATAGCAGTTGAGCAATCATGTGAGTTGGAGAGAAAATAGGGAAAGAAGTTGGAGAGTGGACTGATATTTCAAAGGCTACTTGTTCAATTCAATCGGCAATAGAATAGCAAACATATCTGCCCATTCTTTATAAACAGCATAGCCCTGAGGTTGTAAAGCACACATTGTAACCACTTCATCTTATACTTTAGCAAAGAAATAACAAAGCTTTCAACTCTATTTTTATTACTTCCATTTTTACTTCTTTCAGATCTTAAAATTATATTTCTTGCACGTAGCCCAATACATCTTTTTTCCTTTATTTGATTGTTTGAATTAGCATAAATATTGCTAAAACAATTTGGTGCCATCTGTGGGAATTCGTGCAAGAAATTTATTCTTCATGGAAGGAACGAGCAACGAGATGATGGCCTAGTTTCATAAGCAATTGGAGGCGATGAAAAAAGAAATCTGACGTGAATTGGCGGAACGGATTGCTCACCTCCAACGAGAAAACGACGTACTATGATCCCATGTGCAATCGGCGGTGTCCATAGCCTCTAATTCAAGAAATAATCGAAGGAGCGACGTTATGACCGCCGCTACTAGGCTGGACCTAGGCTTCACACCGGCTCCAACGGAACCATTCATTCCTCACTCGGGGACCGAGATGTTTGGAGAACCGGGACCGTCAAATCGATCTGTTCCCCTTCCAAATCCTAGACGGAATGTGTTCCACAACCTGTTTGCAGAACCTCAAAGGCGACGAGTTCTAGAACATGTAGACATCTCTAGGCAGAGGCAACAGGAACATGAAGTCATTGTCATCCCATCACCAACTGGACATGAGGCAACCCAAGTGGTTACACCACATGTCCCGACCATGAGACAAGCGCAAGCGGATCCGACAGACCCCATGTTCATCATCTTAGAACAACTGAAGGAGATGCGAGATAAAATCAATGGCATTCCTGGAGCACCGTCACCGTTGGATACTGCTTCGCAGACGTGTTACGCATACTCTCCCTTTGGACGATATATCACTCACATCGAGATCCCAAGAAAGTTCGTTGCCCCATCAATGAAGTTGTTCGATGGAACGTCCGATCCCTTGGAACACATTGCACAGTACAAGCAACAGATGTTGACCATTTCAGTCATGCCAGAGCAACAAGAAGCTTGCATATGTAGAGCATTCGGGATGACATTAACGGGACCAACATTGACACGGTTCGTCAATTTGCCGAACGAAGGAATCAACTCATTTGCAAAGTTCATCAACCTATTCAACCAAAAATTCGCAAGTAGACGGGTCCTCAAAAAGCAGACCAATGACCTTTACCAAATAATTTTTGAGAAATAATTTACACCATTTCAATAAGGATAAGGTGTCGATCCCGAAATGTGACGTTTCTACCATCATTGAAGCATTCAGAAGAGGTTTTTATGAAGATTCAGAGTTGTAACACGAACTAACGAAATACCCTTATCGGTCCTTCGAAGATGTTCAAGCAAAGACGTTGGCTTTCCTCCGTCTAGAAGAAGACTTACGATCCCGTCGAAGACAAATTGAGCACGAAGGGAGACGCGGGAAATCAGAATCTCCCAGGGGAGCATGATTAAAAGCACGGAAAACCATATTCGAGACCTCAGGAACGAGTCGTCACTTCTCACACAAACATTTTGACATAAAATTCTGTCATTTTTCAAATGAATAGGGGTTATGTACAAGATGTGTACTAATGTTGTGTACATCTAATATATTTGTAATTTTTTACAATCGATTTCATGGAAAACTTCATGTTGCACTAAAAGTGAAGGAATAGAAGATTTTTTTAACAAGGAAACATAGAAGTGGCGGAGATATGAGTATAAGGGGCAGGAAAATAAAAAATTAGTATAGTTCTTTTAGGGAAGAGTTCATATTTCCCCATTTATATATAAAGTGAGACTGAGAGAGTATAATCATATTTGGGCATTTTTTAAATTTGGGATTGATCAAACACATCTTCAAGAGTAATTCCCATAAATTATTTCTTTAATGGATGTTATAAGGGAAAAGGCACAAATATACCCATGTAGTATGTGTGTAGGAACTGTTGGAAAAATGTGTTAAAAATTGCATCAAATGGTCATTTTGGCGCAATTATTTGAGTGGGGTCCACTTCCGATTTGGGTCGGGTCAAAGTGGTTTCGGATTGTCCTTGTTAAGGGCTACAATTCGATATGTGGTACACTCAAAACGGATAACGGGTGAATGAGAAATTGATTCTCGAAGTTCACTCGTTGAAATGGAAAAACTGGGAAAATAATGAGTTTCTAGTGTGTTTTATCCCACACCGAAAAACTCAAGGGATTTTCACCCCCTTATAAAGGGAAGTCTCTTTTAAGGAGTTAAGATTCCTAAAGGGAAAGACTCTCTCTTACGCGCAGGGGGGGGGGGGGGGTGCCGATCAAATCCCGAAACGGAGAAGAAAAACCGCGACTCGTGTGCGCGGGTGACCTGCGGACACGAATGCCGTCCAAAAATCTATCTCTCAAGGGGTGTTCTGTTGGCTTCGGACAGAAACCCTCCAAGGGGTGTTCTGCTGGCTTCGGACAGAAACCCTCCAAGAGGTGTTCTGTTGGCTTCGGACAGAAACCCTCCAAGGGGTGTTCTGCTGGCTTTGGACAGAAACCCTCCAAGGGGTGTTCTGCTGGCTTCGGACAGAAACCCTCCAAGAGGTGTTCTTCGGACAGAAACCCTCCAAGGGGTGTTCTGCTGGCTTCGGACAGAAACCCTCCAAGGGGTGTTCTGTTGGGGTCTTCTGTCGCGCATTTCTTCCGTTACAACAATTAATGCCCAACGTTCTTCTCTTTTAATGCTGCGTTAAATGGACAATTTATGGACGATTCAATTAATCCAACGTTCAGGTCCATTAACACCCCATTTAACACACAACAAATCCTCCTATAAATAGTTGGCAGGTGCTTTGCAACAAACACACGGTTTGAAACAACGCACAATACATTCCTCACGTATTCTTCAGCTAAAAACGCCTACAGCTACTCTCAAAATTCCTTCTGTGTTCTCACCTGGTTCTCGTTCGTTGGAACTCTTGTTTGTGTGCTCAAACACTAGTTCGTAGTCATCGTATCCTGGGAAACGATTGTTGCAACGCTCCTAACACCGTGGGAGGCAACAAATACGTTTTAAGGAAATCGTGCGTAGCACGAGCTTTGACTAATTCTGCTTCATCTCCTTTCTTGTTTTTCTCTAGTCATTTTATTTAATTAATTTATTTTAATTAATTTTCTTTATTTTCCGAAACACACCCAACAGGAACAAATATACACCTATTCTATTTTTTCGGAACAAATATACCCCTGAAGTATATGTTGAAGTGCATATATACCCCTGAACTTTTAAAAAGTGCAAAAATATCCCTCATGTTCTTATAAAGGAGCAAATTTACCCTTATTAACTTTAAATAGATAAAATTAGGGAGAACTATCAAATAAGCCCTCGAACTTACATAAAAAATGCAAATAAGCCCTTTATAGGAGGCTCTGTCCGGCCGTCGCCATTCGGGATGGTTTCCTGTGGCATTTTTTGATGAAAGTTTTTGAGCATCTTCTTCATTAAGTCTATTTTACCCATACCAAATTTCAGCTAGAACTTTAACGGAGAAGGCAGTCAAATGATTTTCTGAAATATACTGCGTTGTTTAACTGCACAGTTTTCTTCAAAAATTCATTTGAGTGCCTTCCCGATTTAATATTTAGCTGAAATTTGGTATGAGTACACTAGACTTAATGAATAAGATGCTAAAAACATTTCATCAAAAAATTCCACTGAGAACCGCCCCAAATGGCGACGGCCGGACAAAGCCTCTTATAAAAGAGCTTATTTGCACTTTTTATGTAAGTTCGAAGGTTTATTTGATAGTTCTCTCTCAAAAAACACAAAATATAAATTATAAATTCAAAATTTAAAAATAAAGATTTATTATTATGTTAAAATATTATCTCTTTAATTTTAAATTGCAAAATTATTATTATTTTTGTCGTAAATGAAGCACTTCAAATTCATTAATTTTAATTTTAGTCTTGTTGTGAAATTTTGAACACATTATTACATTTTTTTAAAATAACATTCTTTGATATTATAATGCAAAGATATGTGATATTGTAGTGCAAAGAATGCAATTTCTTTTTACATTGCAACACATATGTTAACAATTTTTCGAAAGAATCTTGAATATATAGTAAAGTTTAAAATAATATTTTATACTACCAATATTAAATTGTGATATACAAAACAATAAAAGGGATAATTGGACACAAGTAAATTCTTAAAAATTTCTATTTTTCAAATTCGAATTTATAATTTATTTTTATTTTTTGAAATTTATTTTATCAATTTAGAGTTAATAAGGGTAAATTTTCTCTTTTATAAGAATATGAGGAGTGCTTTTTTATACCTTTTAAAAGTTCAGGGGTATATATGCACTTCAATATATAGTTGAAAGGTATATTTGTTTCGAAAAATAGAACAAACGTATATTTGTTCCTACCCCATGGTATATTTGTACCTTTTCCTATGTTATACTCCCTTTGTCTCAAAATGATAGTTCTGTATTTTCTTTTTGAGATGTCTCAAAATGATGGTCCTATTTCCCTTTTGGAAAGAAAGATGTGATTCATATCATTTCACTTTATTATACTCATATCTCAATCACAACTTTTACTTTTTCAATCACTTTATTAAAATTTGTGCGCAAAAGAAATGAGAATATTAAATTTCACGTGTATTACTGTATTCAAAGGGAACGGCAGCCATTCGATTTGCCCATTGATGCATTTGGTGATGACGTGTCATTAGTTTATTGGGGGCAATTACGTGACATCGACACTAGAATTGTTATTTATTCATTATTATTCGAATTACAACCCCTACGCTTTAAGTTTCTCAAATAAGGACCTGATTAGCTCCCCATTACTGAACCTCTGAACAAGATAACAGCTAAAAAGATTGAAAGTCACTTCCGGCAGCAATGATTTGGCGGTTTATTTTGCTAATATTGCTGTTCTCAGGGATATCCGCGCCTGCAACTCTAACGGCAACAAGAACAGAAAACCGATCAACGGGAGAAGCGAGTGGCATTTTCTGGCCTGACGCAGCGGTGGAAGCTGAGGATGGAGGAGACCTTCTCCCGACGGCCGAGGACGAGTTCTTCGGCGGATTTTCTGACTTGCAGGGAATGTTGCAGTGGGCAATAGGTTTCTTCCTCCTCTCCCACTTCTGCTTTCTTTTAACTAAGCTAAATTGTTTATTTAATGCTCTCAAGTGGGGTAGCATATAAAGGTTTCTTTTTTATGATATTATAATGATAGTAAACAAATTTTATTGTAAGGGCAACATATTCATTGCTACTATCGTTATAGACAAAGTGCTGTAATGTCCTGTATTTCTTGCCAACTCTACCTTAGTTTTGTTTGTTTTAATTTGGCTATTATAAATGCTTTGTCTAAGAGCTAAGTTTCTTGTGGAATTGCACTCCAGGACATTCTGATCCAGCAAAATTGAAGGAAACAGCTCAAGGTGTTCAAAAGTTGTCTTCTGAGGAGCTAAGAGCCCGCCAAATAGAATTACAGGTTAGTTCACGGACTTATATGGCCTACCCATGGCCATTGCTGAGAATCCCATGAATGTGGGGGGTGGGGGTTTAAGAAATTGAATTCTTTTAGGTACAAATTTGGAATATAAGTCTCTTTTGCTTTATTCTTTGTTTACAAAATCATGAAGTCGTTGAGTATGCATTGATATCGAAAATGTGTACTTAGAGAATAGGCGTAGTGATTTTGAGTTAAGTTTTAAGTCAAAAAAGTGACTGGTTACATCTAGTAGCCTGCCAAGCCTTCCATAGTTCCATGTATGTATACCAAAGTGCTTTACCTTTTCAATCCTTCCATCGCGGAGAATTTTTTTCTGTAGTGAAATGTTTTTGAAAACCTTACGTCAATAGGGGATTAAAGATATGGTTAATAATATTGAGAGTAAAGATGGTGGCATTAGCAAGCCTGCAAGACAGTAGAAGCATTAAAGAAGCAAGAAGACTTCCAAATCTCAAAGTGTGTACTTAGAGAATAGGCATAGTGATTTTGAGTTGAGTCTTACATCAAAACAATAATGATTGGTTACATCTAGTAGCCTGCCAAGCCTTCCTTGTATACCAAAGTGTTTTACCTATTTTCGAACATCCGTTGAAGAGAAAAATTTTCCAGCACTAAATGTTCTTTAAAATCTTACGTAAATATGAGACAGATGATATGGGTAATATTATTTTAGAATAGTAGGGAAGTTTAGAGTCACAAGATGGTGGCATTAACAAGCCTTCTAGACAGTAGAAGCTGTAAAAGAAGCAAGACAGCTAATAAACGTGATGCACTAATATTGGTATGTGCGTAACTGAAGCCATGAAAGAAGGGGACACACTACACCCCTTTATATAGTAGGGCCACATAGAAAATTAAATATCTCAGAGCACTGTGCCGCTGGAGCTGTAAATTACAATATTAGGGGTTGTAAAGCATGGGTTGAACCATGGGGGTCATGAGTTGTATACTTGCATTACTTGGCTTTACTCTACCACAAGCTGGAACACATAGGGTAGTAGATCTTAGGTCAGATAACTGTTTTGAGAAATGTGAGTATGTCACTAGAACAATGCTTTTGGAACCAGAAACCATTAACGCTAACCAACTGCTAGTTGTCAGTCTCTTTTTCCAATTGCTGAGGTGGTTTACTGGTCTTTCTATCAGTTCCTGGGGTGGTCTATCGGTCTCTTTGCTGGTTGCTGTGGTGGTGTTTGTTGTATTCCAAACTACTATCCTTGTCTTACTATCATCAAAAATTTATTTGCATGGTATGTCAGGAATTCATGGAGAAGAATCAATTGCCATCAGATGCAAAGTTAATGCAGATTGCAATAGATGACTTGAAAAATTCATCCGTGTCTTTGGAGGACAGATTTCATGCTTTGAATGAGCTGTTGGAACTTGTTGAGCCAATATATAATGCAAACGGTACATTAAATTTCTATCACCTTATTATCATCATTAACTTTAGTATTTTTGTTAACGGTTTGCGGCAATTATTTCATTGGTCATGTTCAATTAACTGTCAATTGAAGGATGCTTTTTTATTTCATTTTATTAGCTTAAATGTGATCAACTCTCCAATTTTACCCTCTAAAAAGGTAGCTAAGTGATATAAAAAATTAAGAGATGTATACTTAAAGAATTGCACAAGGAGAGTTTAGAGTGGCCATGTATGTCAACATCAATTGGCGAGTTAAAGGAAGTGGTCTGTTCTGTTTTGTGTATAGTGATTACGGATTTATACCATTTTAGGTTCTCCATGATCAGAATAAAAGAGTACACTTTTTCTTACAGTTGTTTGTTTGGACTTGGGAGTAGTTGCTATTTCTCCCTATATCCCCTACTACCTATGGTTCTGAGTTCTTTTGAATCCTTAAGGTAATGAAAAGAGGATTCATCCCCAAAGTTACTGTACACAATGGAAAGCATGACCCTATCAAGGTTTTCCTTGATGCTATTCAAGGATTAAGCGCAAACTTATTGTGGGGCATGACAAAACCATCAGCATTTGATTGACCTGGATCATGCATCGAGCCTCATAGTGCGCCGACTGTGGGTCATTGACTCTTTAGAAATTTGAATAGTAACTAGGCCACACACAAATATGTGTGTAATTTGAAGGTTTTTATGTTGGGTAGTGTTGCTTGACAACTTGATATGCTCCTTAGCGATACATAGTGTAGCATGATATTGTGTCTACTTCTGAAAACACGTAATGAGCCAGTGTGCACACTATTGGAACATTCCAATAACATAGTCGAGCCAGTGTTTTGCGAGTTTTTTCCCAAACTAAGGTACTTTTAGAACTTATTTACCAAACTAGGGTACTTTTAAACTTATTTACCAAACTAGGGTATTTTTTTCTCCATGTCACCCAACCTGCCATGTCACCTAGCCACATCATTCTCTAGTCATTCCATATCATCGAATTTGGGTAGTATAAAAAATATGTTGCTAGAGGGAGTTGAACTCATACCCTCTCAACTTTGTATTAGGACTACAACCATTGGACTACAATGTTGAGTTGTTACTTTTGCCCATTTAATTGTATTTAACATACATATAATTGAAGTTCTGGAATTTACTAGTTTAATCGTGTATTACTCATTCCAAAATATATTATTTATTTCTCAAATAATTAAACAATATGATAAAATTCTAATTTTAGATGTTCAATTAAAAAATAAAAACCCAATCAAAAATTATGATTAAAAACTTAATTTGTGATATGTAATTAAAACTAATTTATAATAACTCAACACTAAAATTATTAAAAAATATTATATTCTTAACTAAAAAAACGTTTTAAAGTTGATCTAGGAAAACAATTTATGTATTTAATATAAATAAATAAATAATTACTCCGTATAAAATTAATTTATTTAATTTATTTATTGATAACTTATTTCTTTAAGTATTTATTTATTTTGTTATTGATTTTCATGTATAAATATATTTTATCAAAATTTAAAAATATTTTTTAGCTCAAATTCGGGCATCTTTTTTGAATTTGAACACATAAAAATTAATTTGTGGAATTTGAACCGAACTCAAGCCTTACTCGAGTTGAGCCCGAGCTCAGTTGAGATGATATAAATACTTTTTCCTAGATAAACTTTTAAAAAAATTTAAGTTAAAAATATAATATTTTTAATACTTTTAGTGTTGTGTTATTAAAGTTATTATAAATTATTTTTTAATACATATCTCAAATAAATCTTTTTATCATAATTTTTAATTGGGTTTTATTTTTCAATTGAAAATATAAAATTAAAATTTTATTATATTCTTTGATTATTTTAGAAATAAATAATATATTTTCCAAAGGAATGAGTAAAACACGAGTAAACTAGTAAATTCAAGAACTTCAATTATATGTATGTTAAATACAATTAAATGGGCAAAAGTAACAACTAAACATTATAGTCCAACGGTTTTACTCCTAGTACATAGTTGAGAGGTTGTGAGTTCAACTCGTTCTAGCAACGTATTTTTTATACTACCCAAATATCAATGATATGGAATAACTAGCGAATAATGTGGCATAGGTGACGTGGTAGGTTGGGTGACATGGAGAAAAAATACCCTAGTTTGGGAAATAAATTTAAAACTACCCTAGTTTGGGAAATAAGTTTTAGAAGTACCTTAGTTTGGGAAAAAACTCGTGTTTTGCACATCTCTTCACTATTCCAATTACTTACTTAATACTGATGAAACATTCCAGATTTGCACACTATTGGAGGCCTTACTGTTGTAATTGGAGAGCTTAGTCATTCAGAACCAGAAATAAGGACTCTTGCAGCTGAGGTTCTTGGCAAGGCCAGTCAGAATAACCCGAGCATTCAGAAGGAGGTAATGAACATGCTTCAGTTTCTTTACAATGTCATGCCAGAAATTCCTTTGGTTTCTCTCACCCGTCTTCTTAGTTAATGTTGAAATATAAACTACAATGATATTAAAGATGGAGAGAAGGATTTTCTGTGTATTTCATTAGTTGTGGAAGTCCCTATAAATATACATTACAAATAGAATATTCCTTTATAAGATTCTATACAATAATAATATCTATGGTATATTCCTAATATATTCTATAGCATATTCTAAAGTATATTCTAATATACTTTCACACTCCCCCTCAAGTTGGAGCATAGATATTTATCATGCCCAACTTGTTACATAAATAACCAACTCGAATTCCATTTAGTGCTTTAGTGAACAAATCTCCAAGTTGTTCCCCGGTCTTCACATATCCTGTAGAGATCAATCCTTTTTGTATCTTCTCTCGAATAAAATGACAATCGACCTCAATATGCTTCGTTCTCTCATGAAACATTGGGTTGTTGGCAATGTGTATAGCAGCTTGGTTGTCACACCACAGTTTAGCAGGCATTGGTGTCTTCATCCAATTTCACTCAATAAATGGTTTATCCAGATTATCTCACATGCCGATTGTGCCATAGCACGATATTCTGATTCGGCACTAGATCGAGAAACCACATTTTGCTTCTTACTTTTCCAGGAGACAAGATTACCACCAACAAAGACGCAATAGCCAGATGTAGATCTTCTATCATCTTTAGATCCAGCCCGATCAGCATCTGCAAAGCATTCTATTCTCATGTGATCATGATTTTGATAAACAATACCTCGTCCTGGTGTCCCCTTCAAGTAACATAATATATGTTCTACAGCATTCCAGTGATCAACTGTGGGAGATGACATATACTGACTCACTACACTCACTGAGTATGCAATATCTGGACGGGTAACTGCGAGATAATTAAGTTTTCAAACCAATCTTCTATATCTCTCTGGATCTTCGAATGACACACCATCGTGAGTAAGTTGTACATTAGGAATCATAGGAGTATTGCTCAGCTTTGGCCCTAGTTTCCCTGTTTCAGCTAGCAAGTCAAGTACATATTTGCGTTGAGATAGAAATATGCCTTTCTTGCTTCGTGCTACCTCAATACCCAAGAAGTATTTCAATGAGCCTAGATCTTTCGTCTGCAATTGGCTATGAAGAAAATTCTTAAGAGCCAAAATACTTGCAGTATCACTCCCTGTAATCACAATATCATCAACATACACCACAAACAATGTGATACCTGCTTTCGTTCGTCTATAAAAGACAGAGTGGTCTGATTGACCTTTTATCATGCCAAATCGTTCAATTGATTGACTGAATTTTCCGAACCATGCACGGGGACTTTGTTTGAAACCATAAAGAGATTTGCGAAGTCGACAAACTTTCCCATACTCCCCCTGAGCAACATATCCCGGAGGTTGCTCAATATAAACTTCTTCCTGAAGGTCACCATGCAAGAATGCATTTTTAATGTCCAATTGATGTAAGTGCCAATCATGAGTTGCAGCGATAGAAATAAGTAACCTGACAGATGTTAATTTAGCAACAGGAGAAAAAGTGTTAGAATAATCAACACCATAGGTTTGAGCATAACCCTTCGTAACTAATCGAGCTTTCAACCGAGCAACAGATCCGTCTGGGTTAACCTTAATAGCAAAGACCCACTTGCATCCTATAGATTTCTTCCCTGTAGGCAAGTCAACCAAATCCCATGTACCATTAAGATCTAAAACATTCATTTCCTCTACCATGTCATGACGCCATTCAGGATGAGACAAAGCTTCTTTAACAGATTTGTTGAAATATAAACTACAATGATATTAAAGATGGAGAGAAGGATTTTCTGTGTATTTCATTAGTTGTGGAAGTCCCTATAAATATACATTACAAATAGAATATTCCTATATAAGATTCTATACAATAATAATATCTATGGTATATTCCTAATATATTCTATAGCATATTCTAAAGTATATTCTAATATACTTTCACAGTTAAAATGCATGATATGGTTTATTTTTCATGCATAAAATTGTCAACACAGGTACTTAAACTTGGGGCTCTGGAAACCCTGGTGAAAATGGCAAAGGCGTGTTCTATTGAGGAAGCTACAAAAGCACTCTATGCTATTTCGGCATTAGTTAGAAATAATTTAGACGGCCAAACCCAATTCTATCAGGAAGCTGGAGATGCTGTGCTTATGGTAATGCATGTGAGAGTGAGTTCATTAAGTGAGCCGCATTGCCAAAAAAAATCTCCCAACTCCCAAGAATAATATGATAAAATTAGTTATAAATTTGTAAACTTTAAAAATATAAGTGGGATTTCATGACCTTTAAGAGTTGAACATTACGGACTTTAAAAGTTACACATTAATCAAACATGATTGTTTTACGGAGGGAGTACTACTTTGAATCTGGATGCAATAACTTATATTTGAAAATTTATGCAGGATATTATCAACAATTCAACTTTAGACAAAAGGCTACACAGGAAATCAGTTTCTCTTGTTGCTGACCTGGCTGAATCTCAATGGGGAAGCGAAAGTAAAGAAAAGCTGCATTTTTTCGCCAATCGTTATTTCTTGAAATCCTTGGTTGATTTAGTAGTTTCGAATGACCTTGATCTCCAAGAGAAGGTAATGTATTCTCTTGGTTTATGATGTTTGTGTTCACCATAGTTAGTTGGTGTCATGAAATTTAGAGTGTCAAAATTAATTGTCTAAGTTTAGTTGACTCAATAAATGTACTATTAGTACATAACTGCATAGTGCAGTTAAAATAAATAATGCAAAAATCAAATTATGTCGTTTGGTCCACACTGCTTGTAATTTAGTATTTCTCTTTGATCAAAATTCTGCATGATACAAGTAAAATCTGCAATCGGCATAAACCAGTTTATAGTAGTCAAGCTGGAAAATTAATTTGACCTTGTAATACAAGTAATTCCGACACATTAGTGCGACCGTGTAATTTCTATTGATTCGATTTATATACAAACTGTGAGCGATATTTCTTGCCTAATGCTGCATTTTGTATCAGTATTTTTATCGTTACTTTTTGCAATGCTTTAATTATTCCTGTTGTTATTTTGAATTTATTATCGTATGCCCCTGCATGCTACTTTTTTTCATTGCTTTTGTTGTTATTATTATTATTACAGACTCTTTATGCAATTAGAAACATGTTACTCCTACAATCAACTGATGGTCTGGTTTTCAAAGACTTCTGCAAATTGGACGTGGCACTTGAACAGATGAGACTGCAGTTGCTGCAACTATCGGAGGAAGAAAACCACAGAGAGTATGCAGCAGACATGGAAAGTCTTCGAAAAGAAGTAGAGCAGACTTTGTTTCAAAAACTTGAAAAGGTAATAACATAAGCTCATACATGTGTTTTTGCCTGCTATTTGCTAACATATACTCCGTATGGTTTTGATCTTTGTTCTTAATTTAAAAAATTGCAGGTTACCCAAGTTCCTACGTGATTGGGTGATTTTGAAAGCATTGCATAGTTTAATGCACGTGTGAGAGCATGCTTGGCACAAAAGAGATTTTTTTCATTCATCAATGCCAAAAAAGGAAGACAAATTCAGCCTCGTGATTCAGTATATATATTTTGTTTTCTGGCAAAATATAGTACGGTTTGGTTGTGGAGCATTTTTTGTTTCCATATTTCATGTTCTTTTCACCAGACTAATATTTGATAGACTTTACTATGTGCTGTATTTGTGCTCTAATCTTGTCAACATAGAATTATGCGTAGTATAATCATTATAGACACGATGAAAGAATTATTAGTCCCTCGCAAAAAAGAAAGGAAGTATTATTGGTCACTACTATAAATAGGGGTCTCAGTTGAGAGGAAAGGGAAGAGAATTTTCAGACGAAGAAACGCTGCAGAATAGCTCTGAAGAACTCCCGAAAGGCTCTGAACGATTCCGAAGAAGAGGAGTAGACCAAGCCACGAATTTTATTAAGAATGTATGAATAATCCTTTGTGATTTCATCGATTCTTGATAAAATAAATCCAAAAGTTGAAGAACGTTCGAAGATCTGAAGAACGAAGCTTGAAGATTTGAAGATCGGAAGAACAATGCTTTGAAGATTCGAAGACCTGAAGAACGAATCTTTGAGGATTTGAAGATATTCATATGAAGATTGAGTCAAGATTCAATTGAAGACCAAGCCACATATCCCGGGAGGCTCTTAAACAGAAGATCAAGCCACAAAACGGCCCTTTTGTTGAAGAACAAGCCACTTGAAAACCGGAGGCCCTTCAAGCTGAATTCTTAAATCAAGAATATTTGAAGATTCAAAGAACGAAGATTCGAAGATTCAAAGAACAAAACTTTGAAGGTTTGAAGATTCGAAGAACGAAGGTTCGAAGATTTGAAGATCTGACGAACGTTCGAATATTTGAAGAATTAAAGATTTAATTTTGAATTAATTTCTTTAATTATATTTATTTCAAATTGCAAGTGAAGAATCAAAGGATTCATATTTAGAGATTGTACCCAATATTCTCACATATTATTATTTGCGATCAATTTTAAGTAAATACTTAAAATTTGTTTCACAAATTTTTGGCACGCCCGGTGGGACATCTCTACCTCTCCTCTCTTCACTTTTGAAAACGAACCCATGGCATCAAACAAGCCCGTGTTCACTCTGAATTCTAGAACATCATCAAGCTCGAATCAAAATATGCAAGGCCCTATCACTAGGAGCCGTTCAAGAATCATGACATGCGCAGTCATCCTCGGGAACTACTCCCGGTGCGATGGATAGATTTCAAATTGCGCAAGAGATGGCCCGGAAGCTTTCTTCACCCATACGTGAAGTTACTTTCCCAAAATGGACAAGCAGTGGTGAAAGCTCATCATCTCGGTCAGACTCTACTTCCCCGTCAACCTCTCCACGAAGAACTACTCCGCAGTGGTCAAATGTCTACACTGTGATGCCCACTATGATGACAAGCACGACATCTATGGAAGAACAAATCGCCCATCTAACTAAGATCATCGAGGGAATGAGCATGTTCATGCAAGCTCAAGATCAGAAGTTGAATGATCTGAACAACAAAGTGGAAAACTTGAAAGGCGAGTCAGGTCATACCCATGAGAAAGATCCTGAAGTGCACGAAGATAATTATTCTCACCAAGAGGGTTCGGGAAAGAACATCTCAACCTCTGGGGGCATGATCCCAATTGATCAACTCAAACACTTCATCATGGGAACCATAAAGGGGAAGATAGAAGGAAGTCAATCTACTTACTCCTATGTTAAGCCATATACTCAAAGGATCGAGGATCTGAAAATGCCCATTGGTTATCAATCGCCAAAGTTTATCCAATTTGACGGAAAGGGAAACCCGCGACAACATGTTGCTCATTTCGTAGAGACTTGCAATAATGCAGGAACAAACGGAGATCATCTTGTCAAGCAGTTCGTGCGTTCCCTAAAAGCAAATGCCTTTGACTGGTATACTGACTTGGAGCCCGGTTCCATTGATAGTTGGCAAGATATGGAACGTGAGTTCTTAAACCGTTTCTACAGCACAAGGAGGGTGGTGAGCTTGCTTGAGTTGAAACCTACTCGCCAACGTAAAGATGAGCCTGTGATAGCTTACATAGAGCGTTGGAGGGATCTTGCTCTAAACTGCAAAGATCGAATCTCTACAAGTTCCGCTATCGATATGTGCATTGAAGGAATGCATTGGGAATTGTGCTACATTCTCAAAGGAGTCAATCCAAACACTTTCGACGAGCTAGCAAGCAAAGCTCGTAACATGGAGTTAAGCATTGCAAGTAGTGGAAAGAAAGCCATGGGTATGTATCCCATAAACAATGCTGTTGAAAAACAAGATACCAAGAATGGGGGCAAACCCTTTTCTAATATTGAAAATAAAGAAGCAATGGTCGTGAAGGTTGCACCTGTTAAGATCTTCTCTCAAAATCCAAAACAAGTTCCTAGGGTCAACTTGGAGGCGTCAAAACGTGTTAAACCATTTCTAGAAGAGATGCTAGAAAAGAAATACCCCTTCTTAGACTCTGACGTTCCTCCCATGTTTGAGGAACTGATGAGATTGAAGCTTATTGATTTGCCCGAGTCCAAACGACCCGAGGAAGCTACAAAGATAGATGACCCCAATTACTGCAAGTACCATCGACTTTTAAGTCACCCCACTGAAAAGTGTTGGGTGCTGAAAGATAAAATTATGGTCCTGGCTCGTCAAGGAAAGATTGAGCTCGCCGATTCTGCTGCAAGCACAAACCAAATTGCCATCACTTTTGGTAGGTTTGCTCCGCTCATGGTCAACGACGACCTAAATTCTCACAAGCACGAGCTCCCATTTACTGTCAAGAGAATGAAAGGATGTTTTCCTCTCACTAAAAGAATGGCACTTGAAGATGTCGATGACAAAAGAAGACCATGGATCTTGTTGACTCGAAAGAAACAAAGGAAGAACCACAAACCTAAACCACAATCGAAGAAGGTGGTGAAGAAATGGGTCATGCAACAACCGATAAATGAGTTGAAGAAAAGTAAGCAAATCAAGGATCATGTTCGAGCCAAGGTTGCCCGAAGGCCGATTACTCTCAACGATTATATGCCAAAGGATTTCAAGAACAAAATGACTCAAATTTCAAGTTCTTGCCTTAGCACCCATGAAAAAGAAGTTGACAGTTCAAGTAGATGTTCATCTCCAGTTTCAACTGAGAGAGAAGTGGTTGAAGCACAAAAATCTACTGCATACGCCACTGACATTGTCTTTAAAGACGAAGATTTTATGTTGGGTGCTACTCCTCATAACCGTCCACTTTTTGTTGAAGGATACACTCGTGGACGAAGATTCAGAAGAATTATGATAGATCAAGGGTCCACCATTAACATTTTGACGGTTAGAGCTATAAAAGACCTTGATATATCAATGGATGAACTCTCCCAAAGCCGTTTAATGATTCAAGGCTTTAATCAAGGGGGGCAAAGAGCGATCGGAATGATACATCTTGATTTGGTCATTGGCGGGTTGAAAGCAAGTACTTTATGTCACGTCATTGATGCAAAGGCTTCATATAATCTCCTTCTAGGCCGTCCATGGATCCATGAGAATGGTGTGATTCCTTCAACGTGGCACCAATGCTTCATGTATGAGGAGAACGGTGTTGTAAAGAAGGTAGTGGCCGGTGAAACTCCATTCACAGAAGTCGAGACATACTTTGCGGATGCAAAATTTTACCTAAAGGCCAAAGCTTCTAAAGATGACGATGCTAGAAAAGAGGAAGAATACTGCCCCTTGATTGAACCAAAGCTGAAAGGGAAACTTGTTGAAGGCGTAGAAGGGCTTACATTCCCTCTTGCAAAGATCGAGATATCAAGGCCTCCTAGAGACAAATCTGAGGAAGAAATAAAATGCAAGAACGATGTTAAGGAGTTTGAAATTCCTAAGGCACGCACTAATGAAGGATTTGACCCAAATGCATACAAACTTCTGGCCAAGGATGGGTATAATCCTAACGAACAGAAGATGGGAAAACTCATTCCAGAAGCTGGTGGAGAAGGGCTATCGAAGCAGATCAATCTTCGAGGACACATAGGATTGGGTTACGTTCAGCCAAAACCCATAAGGATCCTCATAAATAGAGCCGCAACACATCATATCAGTGTTGATGAGGAAGATGAAGTAAATTCTAAGCTGAAGTACTCCGTCTTTGATAGGATTGGGGGGGCAAGATCGAGACTCGCCATTTTTGATAGATTGGGTCCGAAACCAAAGATGGTTATGAAGAAGATTTTACAAGATCATCTTGAAACAAACCCGATGGTGATGAAACACATTGAAGACCCGTGCATGGGATAAAACTTTGAGAGAAAGTCTGTTCATGAAAGATTGGGAGTGAAACATGAACGCAATAAATCTACTAAAGTTCTTTCCAAAAAACAAAGTCTTAAAGAGCACAGAAGTTCCATCCCATCTCGTATGAAGCGAGAAACTGATGTGAAAGTAACCTATGGAAATGCACTTAAAGTCAAACCAGTGACCATTGTGTACACTCGTGGTCAATACGAAGACCAATATGTGAACTCCTACTTTACCAATTTTGAAGATTTAGTACCCTTGATGCCGAGGTATAGATATGCCAAATGAAATGTTGAATGGCTTAAACCACCAATAATGTTGTAAGTGGCTAAACTACTAAAACATCTCACTTTGTCTATGGGTGAGCCTAATCATAGATACTCTTGGCCCACGAGAGATTAAAATGTGTACGGCAAGCTCTTGGCCCACGAGAGTTTAAAATGTGTACGGCAAGCTCCTGGCCCGCACGAGTTAAAACTGTGTACGGTCCCTTCAAATTACCTATTCAAATGGTATATGAACTACGTTTGACTTGATCTCCTTCATAGGAGTACGTAGGCAGCTCAAAAGTTTCATTTTTGAGTTCAGTTATAACAAAACAAAACCCAATTAAGTTTTTAGCCAAAGGGATTACGAAAAACAAAGTCATACCAAGATGTGAGAGTTCTCAAGTCTGCGCCTCGCCTGAAATTGATTGAGTTGAGCTTCAAACATCATCTTCTATCAGCGCCGCTCTAACCTTCAAACCGTTGAAGTGGTCGTCATTCAAACTGGCTAAATGGCCAGCCTTCATAAACGGCAAAATGGCCGCCCTTCATAAATGGCATCAGCAGAGCTTTGTATTCACAGGACTTCATTGGCCTAATTCTTTAGATCGGTGCCACTAGCCTAACGAAGGGCCCCAAGCGACACCGATGACCGGCAATCGGACCAATTCTTTAAATCGGTGCCACTAACCCAACGAAGGGCCCCAAGCGACACCGATGACCGGCAATCGGACTAATTCTTTAGATCGGTGCCACTAACCCAACAAAGGGCCCCAAGCGACACCGATGACCGGCAATCGGACCAATTCTTTAGATCAGTGCCACTAACCCAACGAAGGGCCCCAAGCGACACCGATGATCGGCAATCAGACTAATTCTTTAGATCGGTGCCACTAACCCAACGAAGGGCCCCAAGCGACATCGATGAGTTCATCGGCCTAATTCTTTAGATCCGTGCCACTAGCCCAACGAAGGGCCCCAAGCGACATCGATGACCGACAATCGGACCAATTCTTTAGATCGGTTCCACTAACCCAACGAAGGGCCCCAAGTGACACCAATGACCGGCAGTCGGACTAATTCTTTAGACCAGTGCCACTAACCCAACGAAGGGCCCCAAGTGACACCGACGACCGACAATCGGCCTAATTCTTTATATCGGTGCCACTAGCCCAACGAAGGGCCCCAAGCGACACCGATGACCGGCAATCGGCCTAATTCTGTAGATCGGTGCCACTAGCCCAACGAAAGGCTCCAAGCGACACCAATGACCGACAATCGGACTAATTCTTTAAATCAGTGCCACTAACCCAACGAAGGACCCCAAGCAGCACCGACCATAGATAATAGGCCTTGCTCCTTCCTCTTCAATAAGTGGCGTGATTAAATCAATTGAAATAGCAGAAAATAAGGCATCGTTGCGATCTGAGGATTACCCGAATTCATGGGAA